GGGGTGGGGTGGGGCCGCAACACTGAGGCAGGACATGCAGAAGAGGGGCCCGCAATGCACGCCCTCGGCCAGCGCCCGTGCGTCGCTGCGTGCGCGTCCTTCCGCCGCGCCCCGCGCGCCCTGCTGCATTTTGCGTGAGCAGGAGCTGGGTGCCTTGCCGCGTGGCGCCCGCCCATCTGCCGCAAATCAGGGCCGCCCTTCCGCGATTCACAAGGCTGCCGGAAGCCCGCAGCACAGGGCGCGATCCCCAATTCCAGCGCATGCAGGCCGGCCACCACATCCCGTGGCGCGCACCCCTCCTTCCCCGCTAGCGGCGCGCGAAGCAACACAGCACACATCACAGGGCGTCCCCAGGGTGTTGGGGTGTCGACTTGGGGAGGGGTTGGGGTGGGGCGGAGGGGCGAGAGGGGGTGACGCCCACCTGCCGAGGGCGTTGAGCGCCGCCGCCAGCTCAGCGGGCCGCCAGCTCATCAAACCGCCGTACGTCTCGAGGAAGACCCGGTCCAGCCACTCGGCGGGCGGCCGCCACCTCAGCAGCGCGGCGCCGGTGAGCGCCTGCGCGTGGTGGCGCGGCTCGAAGAAGAAGAGCTGCGACAGGGACGACGCAAAGTACCTGCCGACGGGAGGTTTCGGTTTTGGAGGGGTGGGTGGCAGTGGGTGGGTGCCGGTGGCGTGGCTAGGTGCCCCTGCGTGCGAGGGGCTGGTGGCAGTCGACAACGAAAAGTCGACAAATGAATGGAAGCCTCGAGCGGACGACCCGGCACGACCACGCGGCGGCAGCTGTAGGGGGCCAAGCAGGCCGCTCTCCCGTTTGGCACGAGGCAGCGCAGGCGGGCCCCGGCGCCAACGCGCGAGAGCCCCGGCCGTCACACCTGCCGCGCCACGCCACGCTCGGCGCCGCCCCCAGCCGCGCCAGCGCCCACAGCGCATTGGCGAAGTCCTGCGGCCCGAAGAACCGCAGCTTCGGCCACGTGCATGCGACCGCCGCGGCGACCCAGCGCGGCGGCGGCGCGGCGCCCTGGCGCGCGAGCGACCACAGGAGCATCGCCCACTCGCGGCCCTTCAGGGAGGCTGCGTGTTCGGAAAAGGTGGGGGCCGGGGCGCGGGGCCGAAACCAGGTGGGCACGCCGCGCGTCAACATCTCATACGATGCAGTGCGATGACTCAGGGACTCGCACCTCCAGCCTGTCCTGTCATCCCACCCAAAATCTACCTCGGTATGCGCCGGATTGCGGCCCAACCAAGCCCCTGGGCCGCCCCTCGCTGCCGTCCCTCACTCTTCCGCTCCATGACCGCGTTCAAAAGCGCCTCCAGCTGTCGCTCCGCCAGCGGCTGGCGCAGCGCCGCGAGGCCCCAGGACAGCTGCGCCAGCTCAGCGCCGCTGAAGAGGTGCAGCCGCGGCGCGCAGGTCGACAGCAGGCGCGACAGCCATACAGCGAACGGGCGCCTGCGCTCGCGGCGGCGCGGGGCGGGGCGGAGGGGGTCAGGGCTGCGCGTGGGGGGCAGGGAACGTGGCCGATAACGGCTTCACAAGGTGGGAGCTATCAGGAGAGCCTGCAGTCCATGCCCACCCCACAACCGGCTGGGAAACGCGGCACCATTCTCCCCAGGGCAGCGGCGGCGGCGCCGATGCCACCGCTCTCCCCTCACCTTGGGAACCGCAGCGTCGCGAGCGCCCACACCGCGTTTGCGACGTCCCTCCCGCCCCACCGGCTGAGCTGCGGCGCCGACGCCTGGGCCCACGCCTGCGCCCACGAGCGCGGCGGCGGCGCGCGCAGCGCTCCAGCCGCCCACAAGATGTTCGCGAGCGCCTGCGGCTGCGCGCCCGCGAGCTTCGGGGCGGAAGCTGCCCAGAAGTCGCGCAGGAAGCCGTCCGACGGCCGCTGTTCAAGAGTCGCTGCCGCCCAGAGCATATTTGAGAGCCCCCGCGCCTCAAGTGATGGCAGGCGGCGGCGAACCTCCCCCATCAGAGCGCGCCACTGGGACGGCCACGGCAGGTGGCCGAGGGAGGCGAGCGCCCACACCGCCTGACACACGGTGATGTCATCCGAGTCGGCGGCCTGGGCGGCCGCCGCCGCCGCCCACGCGCCGACGTGCTCGTAGCCTGGGTGGTAGCCCGCCTTTGCAAACGACCACAGAAGCGCCGCCGACACTCCCGGCTCCAGCCCGGCCGCGGCGGCGGCGGCCGCCAGCGCGGCGGCGCTGCGCGTGGCCCCGCCTTCGTCGGCCGGCCGCACCCCAGCCAAGGATTGGTCGCCGCGCCGGCCGGTCACATTTCCCCGCTCCCCCTCCTCCTCCTCGCCCTCCGGCTCCTCACACCCGCACTGCCCGCCCTCGTCCTCCTCCTCCTCTGGCCGCTCGGCCGCCCAGGGCGGAAGCTGCGCGGTAGCTAGCCGCGCCACCTCTTGCAGGAACGCGTGGTAGTCATCGTCTGAGTACTTTGTCAGCATCTCGCCGCCCTGCAGCCTCCGCCGCCGCTGCTGCAGCGGCGGCGGCTGCGGCTGCTGATGCTGTGGCTGCTGATGCGGCTGCTGCTGCTGCTGCACGCGTAATGACGCTGCGTCACGGCCGCCCGCACCCGGCGGATCGCCGCCGCGCGCCTCGAGCTGGGGCAGCGGCCTTGCACGCCGCCGCCTCTCCTCCTGCTCCTCCCACTCGTCCTGCAGCCGCCAGCCATCCCGCCCCTCCTCCTGCTGCTCCTGCTCTTGCTGCTGCTCCTGCTCCGGCCATCGCTGCTGCTGCTGCTGTCGTCGCCGCTGCGCAGCAGCTGCAAACTCGTCCGCTCGGTCCCACGCGTGCTGAATTGTGGCCTTGTGCGTTTCAGTCCACTCAGCCTGCTGCGCGCGGCGGCGCCCGTCCCGCAAAGCCTGCTGCAGCCGCGCGGCCCGCATGGCGGCGGCTGAGAGCAGCGGCGGCGCCATCGACGCGCCGTGCTGGTTAAGAACGAGCTGCAACTCCACCCACGACTCGGCGTCCGCGATCTGCTTTTGCAGCAGCAGCCCCAACGGCGAGCTTGCGCCCTGCGAAGGGAGTCCCCGGCCGTGGCCGCTGCTCGCGTCTGGGGCGGCGCCGCCGCCGAATGTCGGGCGCTGCAGCGCTCGCCGCTGCAGCTGGGGCAGGCCCGCGGGCGGGAGCATGGGTGGCGGCAGCGCGCGGCAGGCCGCGAGTTGCCTGCGGCACGGCCGGTGCCATGCAGGGGGCTGAGGCCAGGGCGAGGGCGCCCATACATGGCTTTGTGCAGCCGACGAATTTGAGAGGAGCCTCGGCAGCCGCTGCCGTGCGGGCGCGGCGGCCCGGTTGCGCAGCGCCAGCGCGAGCGCCTCTTCGCGAGCCACCGACAGGGCGTGTCAGCTTATAAAGTTGGTCATATAAGAACTGTATCCGGCATCCACTCCCAACTTTTGTTGACTGCCCACCGCTTGTGACTGTAGAAAGTGATCTGTCGATTAGAACGGTTGCACGTCACGTTTGATGTATATATACTGTACTTTTGAATATTCCTGCCTCTCTATCTGCGCATCATTTTCTGCCCCGCTTTATCCACACCGACCTTTCATGCTTCATCCTCCGCAGTCGAGACGGCATCCAGTATGTGATAGGTATGATAACATGGCGTTGGCTTAGCACCAATATTTTCACGGTATGGGTAGGTCATAAATCTTGGCGGTGCGTAGCAGCAGCAGAGCCCTCACATGAGGTGCAGCAAGCGCCTGAATTCGGAGCATGCAGGTGTCGACTGTGCCGCCCTAACCACCAAGGATTTCCGTCAGCGTGCGCGCCTCT